CAAGAGCTGGGGCACTCATTAATTTGGACTTAATGATCAGGAAAGCTTGATGGCACTCCGGAGTCCATTCTAGAGGGTCAGAGTCTATCCCCGGAATGGCCTGGTACAGGGGCTTAACAATTAGTCCAAAATTGAATATCCAAATTCTGCAGAACCCGGCCGTTCCTAGAAATCCACGGAGTTGTCTGTTTTAGGAACTGCTACTCGGCTAATGGTGAGTTGCCTTTCTGGTAAAAGATCCCTTTGTCCTTTAGATAGGCTGTACCCCAAATATTTAACTTGTTGCTGGGAGATTTGAGCCTTTTGTTGAGATGCTTTATATCCCTATTTTGCAAGAAAATTTAGTACTTCAATAGCATTTTTGTTAGAGGCCCTTTTGGTAGGGCTTGTGATCAAGATGTTATCTATGTATTGGGGCACTAGTCCTTCACGGGGGAGTTTAACCCGGGATAGTTCTCTTCAGAGAGCCTCTCCAAAAATGGTGGGTGACTTTTTAAACCCTTGGGGAAGGACTGTCCAACAATATTGAGTTTTAGCCTTTGTGTCTGGATCCTCCCATTCAAAGGCAAAGGTTGGGCAGCCTCTCTCAGCAGAAGACAAAAAAAGGTATCTTTTAAGTCTAAGACTGTGAACCATTCATGATCTGGGGATATGGTGACCAAAGTGTATATGGTACAGCAGGATGTGTATCTTCCAACAATCTGATTTATGGTTCTTAAGTCTTGCACAAACCTGTATTGTCCCTTTCCTGGTTTCTTCACCAGGAGAATGGGGGTATTATAGGCAGACTGGCAGGGCCGAATGGGTCCATATTTCAAGAATTTCTGTATAAGAGGTTTGATTCCCTCTTGGGCTTCCTGTCTCAAAGGGTACTGTTTGACCCAAGGGAATATGGCCCCTAATTTTAATTTTACCTCTATAGGCTCGGTGGTGGTAGCTTATCCTGGAATTCCGGCTGCCCAAACTTCAGGCCTTACCTGGTCTCTGGAATAGGTCCAGCTCCTGGGGTGGTATCTACTTGGAGCAGGGCCGCTTGCTGGGCCCATCCCTGGTCTGGTGGAACCTGGACCTGTAAATGTTCTTCATGAAATGAAACTTTTGCATTCAGTTTTGCCAATAAATCCTGCCCTAACAAGGGGGTCGGGCATTCAGACATGTAAAGAAAACTATGAGTCATAATTTTATCTTCAGTTTTACAGTCCATGGGCTGGAGGCCATTTCTTTTAACTGTCTCTCCCGAGACTCCTGTAACAGCAAGTGTCTTTGGGGACAATGGGCTAGTAAGTATATTTAATACCAAACAGGTGGCTCCAGTGTCCACTAGGAAATCTATGAGTTGACTGCCCACTTTTAGCTGTACCTGGGGCTCTTCGTGGGTGATGAGAATTGACCCAGTAAGCAGTAGAGCCCCTGGGCCCCATCACTATTGATCCTCACCCAAGCTACTTCCCTGGAGCATCTGGCATGCCCACCCTTGAGGTAGGTGCTCCTTCTGACCCCAGGTTGGGCAGTTAGGACATTCTCGTTTCCAGTGGGCTTCTTATTTGCAATAGGCAGCTTTGCTGGGCACCCTGAGTTCTGAGGTGGGACCAGAGGCCTAGAGCCTGGGGTGCTCACTTGTCCATGTGTCAGGGGACCCCTCGGCTCGCCCAGGGCAGCAGCCAGCAAGCTTGCTTGTTGTTTCATTTCTCCGTGCTTCTTCTTCTCCCGTTCCTGGTCCCGGTTGTTGTAGACTTTAAAGGCTGCCTCGACTAACTGCAAGGTGGTCATATCTAGCCCATTGTCATGGATTGAGTTGTGTACCCCAAAAATATCTGTCAGCTTGGCTGGGTCATGATTCCCAGTGTTGTATGATTGTGTAATCTGATATGATTTCCTTACGTGTTGTAAACTCTATCACTATGATGAGATTATACGTGATCTTATGTGTTGTAAATTCTGTCACTGTGATGAGGTTATACTGATGAGGTTGACAAGATTAGATAGTGTCTTAATGCAATCTCTTTTGAGATATAAAAGAGAAGCAAGCAGAGACACATAGGAACCTCATACCACCAAGAAAGCAGTGCCGGGAGCAGAGCTTGTCCTTTGGACCTGAGGTTCCTGCACAGAGAAGCTCCCAGAGCAAGGGAAGATTGATGACATGGACCTTCCTCCAGAGCCAACGGAGAGGGCGTTCCCCTGGAACCGATGCCCTGAATTTGGACTTGTGGCCTGCTGGACTGTGGGAGAGCAGACTTCTCTTTGTTGAAGCCATCCACTTGTGGTATTTCTGTTAGAGCAGCACTAGATGACTAAGACACCCATTTTCTAGTTTCTGTAACTTGTGCCTTATTTTGGGTGCACTCTGAGAGATAAAAGTCAGGTTAACAACTTTTTGGAAAGTCGGGTCATCAGGATTTACATCAGCATGTTTTCTATAAGCTTCTAGGACCCATTTGAGGAAGGCAGAGGGATTCTCATCTGGCTTTTGGTGAACCTTTTGAATTTTGTTAATGTTTTTGGGTTTGGGCACTCCCTGCCGGAGCCCCTCTAGAATACATTCTCGATATTGCTGTAAGAAAACCATATCATTAGCCTTGTTTGGATCCCACTTGGGGTCTTGAAGGGGATCTGCTGGCCACCTAGCGGGGTTGTTTTCTTCCTCATGAAGTCTTCCTGCCTCCTGCTTTGCCTTCTCTAAAACCATTGTCCTTTCCTCCTAAGTCAGTAGGCCTTGGAGGAGGGCTTGTACATCTGCCCAAGTTGGTTGGTGAGTATCAAAGGTACTCTGAAAGAACTCTACCATCTGGCTGGGGTCTTCTTGGTAACTGGGCATTGATCTCTTCCAGTTCAGTAAATCAGTAGAAGTGAAAGGAGCATGCACCCACACAAAGCTGTGGGGCACCTCTTGATCATCTATTCCCACCGGAACCTGGCAAAGAGGAAACTGCCCTTGCTCTTTGTCAGAAGAGGGAGGTGCCTGGCCAAATTGAACACCACTGTGGGTGTGAGAAGGAGAGGCCACTTCCTCTAATCAGGGATTCTGCTGTTTTCTTAGCCTCCGTTTCCAGTTTCTGACCTTTGCTAGTTCCCAAAGTTGTGGCCAAGGGGGCATCAGCCACCACCCCCAGCACATAAGGAAGGGGGGGCTTGGGGAAAGGGAGAGGTTCCCAAGGCTCACTTTCTTCTAAGATCTCTTCCTCTTTGTCTTCCTGGTCTTGTGGTTTTTCTGCCCTCTGAACCATTAATTTACATTGTCTCTGTAAATTTCTGTTTTGATATAATGCCATAAAGGCCTGCACATAAGGGATTTCATCCCATTTCTCCTCCCTTTTGCAGAACAACATTAACTGCAAGATGGTATTATACGATAAAGAACCTGAAGTTGGCCAATTCTTGCTCAACCCTAGGGAATATTGTACCCAGTCCTGATTACAGTACCTGATCATGACTTTCTTTTTCATATCTCCATAGCTGAACTGTTTCTAATTCTTTAAAATACAACTCAATGGTGAACACTCGGGGATCGACGGTGTGCCTCCCATTCTCTACACAACACACACACACACACACACACACACACACACACACACACACAGTGAGCTCACACCGGACTTGAGGATGGAGTCTCAGGACCCCACGGTTAACGGGAATTAATGGCAGAGGTGTCTAGGCAGGCTGCTTCAACCCCTCAGATCGCAAGCTTTGGAGCAGAACTCATGCCAGGGGTTTCTTAGCTGGCTCCGTTTCAACCTTCCAGTCCCCTCCCGACCATATCTGGGGAACAGACTTACCCATCCGGTGCCTCCAGACCAGACCAGATTGGTTTCGTCCTCTCAAAGTTGGGTTTGCACCGTAACCAGGAACGCTGCCCACCAGGCTCAAACTTACCTGCGTCCTCTGAATCAAGAGATCAGGTGCATGCTGAGGGCGCTGATAAGTCGGGCCACAACCAGGGGTGCTCCAAGGAAACTGGGCAAACAGTAGATAGAACTGTTTAAAGTCCCACCTGGGGTACCAGAAATTGAAACCGGACCAATGGGTCCGCGCCCAGCATACGAGAAGCCGATCTCTCAGACGCTGTTTTTGGGAGGAAGAGTTTATTTCACAGGCTAGCAAGCGGGAACTCAGAGGTATCGACCTCAGATTGAGTTCCTCGATTTGAGCAAGCAATCACATTTTATACTTATATATATTCATATAGGGGTGGAGGAAGGCCGTAGGCAGGATCAGAAAGTTTTAACCATTCATAGTTTCTATTGATTATTATGAGGCGGGTCTAAGAAGTGGCTGACAGACTCTTCGCTTTTGAAATGGGCTCGGCTACTGCCAATGACGTATATCCAGTGATTTCGGTTCCTTGACACGAGTCTTTTGGTTACTTGACATGAGTTCGCTTGTGCTATTGAGCATGCGTAGTGGCCTGGGGTCATCTGTCGGTCCTCTTTGTCTGTTCTGCGCATGTCTGACCACTCTGAGCCAGTTAGTTCTAGACCTATCTGGGTCTCTCCAGAGGGTCTGCAGAACAACTTAGAGGAAGTGAGTGACGTAGTGGGGGAGGTGACTAGACGTGGCCTGATAATCGATGCAGTACTAATTAGTTAGGTGTCTTCAGCTTCTAGGGTTTCCTAACAATCTCATGTTCTTAGAAACTGGTATTGGGTTCAGTAAACCGCCCAGGACCCTTTTTCTTAGCTATAAACACTTGTGTATCCCTAGAAAGTAAAGACAAAACACTTTCATTGATATTAACTGTGCCTTCTTCGTGCTTGGCTGTGACAAGGTTGTGAGGATTTGTTCTTCTGACTGTGCTGGAGGTGAGACCCTCAAGCCTTGGCAGTCACAGTGACCTGGGTTCTAACCCGGTCTCCATGGTGTCGGAACTCAGACAAGTCCTTTGGCCTCTTTAGGCCAGTTTCCTGCGTAAGCTTCGTGAGGGTGACAGTGGTGTGGCCCGGATATATAAGTCCAGGCTTGAGCCCTGCCTTGAGAACTGAGCTATCTCCTTCATTCCACAGGTGGGGAACAGCAGCATAGCCTGGTCTCTTGGCTACATGCTCAACCTGACCAACCAGATCCCAGCTGGAAGCCCTCTGGTCTACCTGCCCATACAGCCACCCGTCTTTGTGGGCATTCTCGCCGCCTTTGCAGCAGTGGCCTTGCTGTGCCTGGCATTTCTTGTGTACCTGTGTGCAATGCCCAGGATACGGAAGCCCTCCCAGCATTCCTTCGATTATGCAGTGGATTCTGAATGAGCCTCAGGAAGCTGCTCCTGGAGTCCAAAGGCTGCCTAGAGCCAGGCTGGGTGGTGCCAGGTAATGCAGGCAAAATGGTCACCTTCAGGAAACACAACTGAAGTCGAACGCCTAGGGCATGTGCCTCTCAAATGCTAGTTTATGCCAGAGCACCTTTTGGGGAGCCTCTCAGCTGTGTGTGCACTCTCGTCCTCCAGGGACCCCACCACCCACTTGAGCTATTAGGGAGCAGAGGAGAGACAAGCCATCAAGGTCAGGCTCTTTATCCTAAGCTTCCCAGAGGTAGAGTAAGTTGAGGATATGACAGCTTAGTGATGAACAATTGACCTCAGGGCACAGTTGCCATTTTCCCTCCCTCAGTATTCCTCCAGCAAGTTTGGAAGCTGGTGGATGCCAGTAAGACCATTTCGCCCAGTCATATGTCTCATTTTATAGTTTCCTCCCTTTGGTCCTTAACTAACCCCTTTAGCAATCCTATAAACATCGAGCTCCTCAGACCAGTACAATATAGTGCCTAGGAAGAAAGGCCCCTTTACCCCAAGGCAGTGGCCACTGTCTGGCTTCTTTGCTTTGGTAGAACCTAAAGCACAGAGACACAGAATATCTCCCAGAAAACTGCAGGCCATTCCCAAAGTGGAATCCTCATCCAGGGCTCTGGGTAATTACTAGATTCCAACCTGTGTGGGTCATTCTCCTCATCTCCCCATCACGTTGCTATGGGCTCCTATAAAACACTTTCACTCCCAGAAAGTTTATTACATTCAGCCCATGTTTCCTTTGCCGGGCCTTTGCTTAGGGCTGCCTTTTCATTGCTAGCATGGTGTGTATACCTTGCCCACCAGGTATGCGTGATGCCATCATAAGCCATCCTTATTCTGTGATTTGCTTACCAGTTACTTTCCCAGATTGTATGCCTCCAGAGTAGCCATACGTCTCGACTGGGGAAAGAAGAAGAAGCTGCAGGAACGTTTAAATCCAAACTGGGATGGGAAAGAACTCCCGCAACTCCACTGATTACAAACTAAAAAGTAACATTATTTCAGATTGCTGTTTGTGACATTACCCGTATATGGAATAAAGGACTTCTATTTTATCTGGGCATGCAGTGTGTGTGCTTGTTAATTTGCACAGGATAACTCTTTCTCCTAAGGATCCAAGGTATTAGTTATGAGAGGAATTTTAGAAGTTAAGAAGATGCTTTTCCTAGTGAATTAAGAAAATGTACTATTGTCACCTTGATTCCAGAGAGTTCACAGTGCTTTCACTTTGATAAGCCTTTGGCTCTTTCTGATAACTGAATCCAACATTACTTTATTTGACATTCAAAGCCTATGTTAGGCTACAACCTGCCGCTCAGATCTTGATTCCCACCAGTTGACAATAACAAGTGTTGGTTAGGACATGCATCCAGTGGAACTCTCACACACTACTGATGGGAAAATGAATTAATGTAACCACTCTGGAAAACAGTGGTTTAATAAAATCGAAGATGCATATACCAAATGACCTGGCAATTCCATTTCAAGATACATAGCTTAGAGATACGTGTTCTTATGTACACCAGCACACATGCTTAAGAAGTTTCCTAGCAGCAGCCAAGATGCCCATTTATACAAAAGGGATGAATAAATAGTGCTATACCTATATGGCACAGTGGTTAAGAGCGCGGCTGCTAACCAAAAGGTCAGCAGTTCGAATCCACCAGCCACTCCTTGGAAACCCTGTGGGGCAGTTCTACTCTGTCCTATAGGGTTGCTATAGGGTCACTATAGGGTCACTATGAGTCAGAATCGATTCAATGGCAATGAGTTTTTTGGTTTATACCTGTATTAGAAAATATCATACAACAATGAAAGCAAAAGAACTACAAGCATATGCTCAAGAAACATGGATCTTACATAATGTTGAGTGTATAAACCATGTCACAAAAAATATATATATAGTGTATGTGTATGAACATCAGAAACAGACAAAACTAAACACAGAAGGTAAAACTAAAGAAAAGCAAGAAAATTATTACTCTAAGTTTGGGGGAAGATAAAGGTTGTGTTTGAGAAGGGATAAACAAGACTTCTGGGGTGACTGATGTTCTATAACTAGGTAATGGTTATAGGTGTTACCCTTTTTCAACCACTTACATATTTTCCATATGTGCTATATGACAAAAAGTAAAACCACAGATCTGGATTAACTCCAGGATTTTCCACGTACTACCTCGTGAGCTTCATAAAGTCTCAACTTCTCTGAGCCTTGATTTCCTCATTCATAGCGCGGGGCAAATATCTGCCTGATGGAACAGTTATAAGAAAAGAAATAAATATAGCACTTAGTGCATAGCACAGGACTTAGTTAATAAATTTAAATAAGTTTAAAAATTATGTCTTTCACTCATTTACTCATTCATTCATTAATCATACATTTACCTTAAATCTTCTATGTGCCAGCCACTGGGCTAGGTGAGTGAGGATGTAAGAAAAATAAGACAAACATCTTTCATCTTGGAACACATGAGACATGAAGGCCCTCTGCTGGATCACTGGAGAAAATCCTTCCAGGTTGCTAACTTTTCTTCCGCTTAATTAAAGATGCTTGGATACCTGAACATCTCATTGAATGATTATATCAAGGAATTACTGTTAATTTTTGTTTCGGTGAGATAATGATTTTGTGGCTGTGGTTGGTTTTTTAAAGAATCCTTATCATTTAGATACTCGCTGAACTATTTCAAGGTATCAGTCAGGGTTCAACAGGAAAAACAGAACCAGTAGGAGATACATATTAAGAGGTTTAATGCAAGGAATTGGCTTATACCATTACGGGGACTAGCTAGGCAAGTCCAAAATCTGAAGGGCAGACCACGAAGAAGGATGGACCTCTCAGGTAGGAGCTGCAGTCCACAGGTGGAATTTCTTTTCAGGGAAATCTCAGCTCTGCTCTTAAAGCCTTTCAACTGATTGAATCAGTTACCTAGGATAATCTCCCTTACTTAAAATCAACTGATTATGGGCTTTCATCACATCTACAGAGTACCTTCACAGCAACACCCAGATAAGTGTGTCACTGAATAGGAGACTGTAGCCTAGTCACACTGACACATAAACCCGACCATCACGTCTGGGAACTGATTTCAAAATTATATGGGCGGGAGGGTGTGGATGCGGAAAGGCTAGCCAATAGTTTGGTGGTTCTTGAGCTGTTGTGATGGGCTCATGGGGGTTCATTATACTATTCTATCTGCTTTGTGTATGTTCAGAATTTTTTACAATAAAAATTTTTAAAATATACTTCAAAAATCACTCAGAATCTATTAAATTGTCTATTAATCATTTATGTGCATATATACCTTTGACTTAAAAAATAAAAACTTATACTTTTAAAAATGCCAAGAAATTTGGAAGACAGCTACCCACCAATTAACTGGAAGAGATTTATATTTATGTCTATTCCAAAGAAAGGTGATACAACCGAATGCAGAAATTATCAAACAATATCATTAATATCACACGCAAGTAAAATTTTGCTGAAGATCATTCAAAAGCAGTTGCAGCAGTACATCGATAGAGAACTGCCAGAAACTCAAGCTGGATTCAGAAGAGGACATGGAACAAGGGATATCATTGCTGATGTCAGATGGATCTGAGCTGAAAGCAGAGAATACCAGAAAGATGTTTACCTGTGTTTTATCGACTATGCAAAGGCATTCGACTGTATGGATCATAACAAATTAGGGATAACATTGTGAAGAATGGGAATTCCAGAACACTTAACTGTGCTCATGAGGAACCTGTACATAGACCAAGAGGCAGCTGATCGAACAGAACAAGGGGATACTATGTGGTTTAAAGTCAGGAAAGGTGTGCATCAGGGTTGTATCCTTTCAATCTGTATGCTGAGCAAATAATCCAAGAAGCTGGACTACAAGAAGAAGAACAGGACATCAGGATTAGAGGAAGAGTCATTAACACCTGCGTTATGCAGATGACACAAATTGCTTGCTGAAAGTGAAGAGGACTTGAAGCACTTACTGATGAAGATCAAAGACTACAGCCTTCAGTATGGATTACACCTCCACATAAAGAAAACAAAAATCCTCACAACTGGACCAATAAGCAGCATCATGATAAATAGAGAAAATATTGATGTTGTCAAGGATTTCATTTTACTTGGCTCCACAATCAACACCCATGGAAGCAGCAGTCAAGAAATCAAACAATGCATTGCATTGGGCAAGTGTGCGGCAAAAAACCTCTTTCAGGTGTTAAAAAGCAAAGATGTCACTTTAAGGACTAAGGTGCTCCTGACCCAAGCCATGGTGTTTTCAATCGTCTCATATGCACACAAAAGCTGGACAATGAATAAGGAAGACTGAAGAAGAATTGATGCCTTTGAATTATAGTGTTGGTGAAGAATATTGAATGTTGAATATTGAATATTGAAAATAATGAACAACTCTGTCTTGGAAGAAGTACAGCCAGATAACAAAGTTTATTAAGAAAATGTTCTGTATCCCACTTGGGTGAGTGGCGTCTGGGGTCTTAAAAGCTTGCCAGTGGCCATCTAAGATGCATCAATTGATCTCAACACACTCGGAGCAAAGGAGAATGAAGAACACCAAAGACACAAGGAAAACGTTAGCCTAAGAGACAAAAAGACCACATAAACCAGAGACTCCATCAGCCTGAGACCAGAAGAACTAGATGGTGCCCAGCTACCACCAAAGACTGCCTTGACAGGGAACACAACAGACAGTCCCTGACGGAGTCGGAGAAAAATGTGGAGCAGAACTCAAATTCATGTAAAAAGACCAGACTTAATGATCTGACTGAGACTGGAGGAACCCCAGAAGCCATGGCCCCCGGACTCTCTGTTAACCCAGAACTAAAACCATTCCTGAAGCCCACTCTTCAGACAAAGATTAGACTGGACTATAAAACATAAAATAATACTCATGAAAAGTGTACCTCTTAGTTCAAGCAGATACATGAGACCAAATGGGTGAC